CTTATGAAGAATGGGGTGCCTTTCCTGTGTTTGATCTCCTTGGCAAATACCTTCTCTTGGCCCTGTTGACCTTGTTTTCCGAAACAGCCCTGACACAATTGCCAGGCCCGCCTTTCTTGCTATAGCAAGAGTTGTTTGTTTGATCTTCTAGTTTGATATGCAAACTAAGACAAACATTGACTTGTCTTTTCCACTTGATACCTCTAATACATGAATGACTCACCCCCCTGAAGAGCCACTCACTGCTTAGAGTGGCTACGGTGAACTGTGTTTGGGTTACTGGAGGGAGTGCCTGGTTAATCATAGTTTACATTTCCCTCCTTCTTTTGTTGATTTAAACAGGGTTGTCCGCACCAGAGATAGCTTTAAAATTAGTAAAGGGAAATCTCCCAATAAAATGTTGTTTACTGCAAGCTTTCCAGATCACAGGATTTTATTTGCTAAAATATGAAGTAAAGAGGAAGGAGAAGGAAGAAAAACCAAACTAACATCAGGCAGTACAGGAAATGAAGTCCTGGGGCCAGCACTGTGGCGGCACAGCAGGTAAAGCCGCTGCCTGCATTGCCGGCATCCCATATAGGCGCTGGTTCAAGTTCTGGCTACTCCACTTCTGATCCATCTCTGTGCTATGGCCTGGGAAAGCAGTGAAAGATGGCCCAAGTCGTTGGGCCCCTGCACCCACGTGGGAGACATTGAAGAAGCTCCAGGCTCCTGGCTACAGATTGGCACAGCTCTGGCCATTACAGCCATTTGGGGAGTGAACCAGTGGATGGAAGACCCCTCTCTCTCTCTGCCTCTGCCTCTCTGTGACTCTGCCTTTCAAATAAATAAATAAATCTTAAAAAAAAAAAAGAAAGAAAGAAAGAAATGAAGTCCTGGCATACTGTCCTGTTCTCCAGATGCAATTCCCCTGAATTTTGTCTTTTTAGGTCTGGTTAAAAATCTTTTCCCAAAGGCGTGTTACGCACTGTTTGTCTCCATCAAAACGAACAGAACGTAATGTGAGGTTGAATTGCCTAATTGAATAATAACTCGTGCAGAATGAAGGGGCTTCCCAAATGTTTACTGATGTGCAACTAGTCTATTAAGTCATTAGTTAGGTTTTCATCATTTTATTGTTGATAATAAGAGTGATGATAATAATTAGCTATGCAGGAGTGGCACGGGAACCCTAAAGAATTGTGGGTTCCTCAATAGGTTACAGGGTCCATCTCAATTACTAATTCAGTCTGGAATAACAATAGCAAAACAATTACATCCAAAGTGTTCGTGTCCTTATATACATTCTAGTTCTCAGACCCAGGATCTCATGCGATTTACATATTTTCCAACCTTCATATAGAACACAAGGACCCAGATTGAAGAGTTTTTAATAATGAATGCATGAAAACCAAGACTACACATGTATATTAATGAGTAGACAACAATGTTAATGGCTACATGCCTTTCTATTGTGCGTCCTCATTACACACTGTGTTGGCAGCTGCTGTTTGCAAACTAAACTTGGTCTCCCCATTGAACAGAACAAGAACAGCAAGGTGCGTGTGACAGGTGTCTTGGTCAAGGTCTCAGAAGCAAACTGGGATATGGAATTCCTGGCCCCGGAGCTCAGGTTGTTGCTGGCTTCGCCTCTGCTGCTTCTGATCTGTTGCCTGGAGACAGTGCTTCCTAACCCAGCAGCATAATATTTGCAGAATAAGCTATGACCAGTATAGTTTTTGAGGGGAACTCAAATTCTTGTTAAATCAGTTCTTTGGATTCTACATGTAGAAGAAATAAATCCTTGGGGCCAGCGTTGTGGCGCAGCGGATTAATGCCCTGGCCTGAAGCACCAGCATCCCATATAAGCACCGGGTAGTGTCCCGGCAGCTCCACTTCGGATCCAGCTCTCTGCTGTGGCCTGGGAAAGCAGTGGAGGATGGCCCAAGTCCTGGGGCCCCTGCACCTGCATGGGAGACCAGGAAAAATCTAGCTCCTGGCTTCAGATCAGCTCAGCTCCAGCCATTGCAGCAAACTGGGGAGTGAACCATCGGATAGAAGACCTCTCTCTCTCTCTCTCTGCCTCTCCTCTCTCTGTGTAGCTCTGACTTTCAAATAAATAAAAATAAATGTTTAAAAAAAATCCTCATGTTATCAGAGACATACCCCTTCAGGAGCCTGTGGGCTCTTGCCTCATATTCAGAGATGAATTCTGAATACTGGCATAAATGAACAAGGCAGCAGGATAGGTTCTAAGCTTTTTATTCAGTGAGAGAAATGCATAGGAGAGTGAGGGTTCTAACCAAGAAAGAAAGGGAAATCTGGATTCATACTGAGCACCAGGAGCCAGCCACAGGGAGGAGGATGTAAGCCAGGAAGCATGGGGCAGGTGACCAGAAGGCCACGCACCCCAAAGGCACAGGGGCAGGGCAGCAAGCAGTCCAGGGAAAGAGGGAGAAAAGGCGCCAAAAAGGCCAAAAGGCTGGGCCCACCCCACTTCCAAAGGGGAGTGGTTAATTAGTCTGATTGGCCGGTGGGCACACAGGTGTGGTCAGATAGGAGCATGATGTCACACAGGGGATGTGGAGAGGCGTGGTCTTCCAGCTCACAGACCTGATCAGTTTTATCTTATATGCCTGCCTCCAACACTCAGAAGCAACCATATAGTTTGAGGAGACTGGATTCTCTCAAGGTTTGAAAGAAGAATGCTTGGGGGTGGGCATTTGGCACAGCAGTTAAGGTGCTGCTTGGGTTGCTAACATCCAGCATCAGAAGGCATGGGTTCAAGTCCTGGCTACTCTGCTTCGGATCTAGTTTCATGCTAAGCACACCCTGGGATGCAGACGGTGATGGCTCAAGCACTTGAGTCCCTGACACATGCCTGGGAGATCTGGGTGTAGTTCCTGGCTCCTGAATTCCGTCTGCTGCAATCCTGGTTGTTGTGGACCTTTGGGAGGGAACCAGTAGATGGAAGATCTCTCTGTCTCCCTGCCTCTCAAATAAAGCAAAAATAAACAAACCAGGAGGAATGCTTCTCCTAAGAATTCACTAACTTCCTCTTTCTCTGAGAGTTCTGTCTTCTGCAGAATTTTTAGTCATTTTTTAAAGATTTATTTATTTATTTATTTGAAAGGCAGAGTTACAGAAAGGTAGAGGCAGAGAGAGAGAGAGAGAGAGAGAGAGAGAGAGAGGTCTTCCATCTGCTGGTTCACTCCCCAGTTGGCTACAATGGCTGGAGCTGAGCTGATCCAAAACCAGGTGTCAGGAGCTTCTTCCGGGTCTCCCATGCAGGTGCAGGGCCCAAGGACCTGGGCCATCTTCTACTGCTTTCCCAGGCCACAGCAGAGAGCTGGATTGGAAGTGGAGCAGCCAGGACTTGAACTGGTGCCCATATGTGATGCCAGCACTGCAGGTGGTGGCTTTACCTGCTATGCCACAGCACCGGCCCCAGTCATTTCCTTTTTAAGAGCTGATCTCAATATATCACAGCCAAAAGGAATCCATTCCCCTAGGAAGAAATAGTAATGAGAAAATTTTGAAAACAACAGGAAAAAATAGCTGATAATAGTTGATCATCTACTTGTAACAGTGAACCAAGAACTCTGGCACCAGTACGCGACTGTGATGCTCTTGACTTTGTCTTAGACTCACGCAGTGTCTATAGACCTGAGCATTCATTCCACCCCAGACCCGGCTGTCTTTTCTGTTACCTTGGGAATGCTGCTCCCAGGCTATGATTTTGCTTTGACACAAAGCAGGGAGAGTAATTGTGGTTCACCTTCCATTGATTAGGAGAGGGACATTCCCGCACCTGGCACATGGTAAGTGCTCTGTGTCAGCTATCATTACCTCCAGAGTTAACCAAGAAAGATATGGGAGGGCTGGCGCTGTGGCATAGTGGGCTAAGCCTCCACCTGCAGTGCCGGCATCCCATATGGGCGCCGGTTCCAGTCCCAGCTGCTCCACTTCCGATCCAGCTCTCTGCTGTGGCCTGGGAAAGCAGCAGAGGATGGCCCAAGTGCTTGGGCCCCTGCACCCACATGGGAGTCTGGATGAGACTCCTGGTTTCCGTCTGGCCCAGCCCCAGCCCTTTGGGAAGTGAATCAGCAGATGGAAGACCTCTCTCTCTCTCCCTCTCTCTCTCTCTCTCTCTCTCCCCTTGCTTTCTCTCTATCATTGTGCCTTTCAAATTAATAAAAATGAATCTTTTTAAAAAAAGGTCTTCCATCTTCTGGTTCATTCCCCAAATACCCACAACAGCTGGAGCTGCTCCAAGCTGAAGCTGAGAGCTGGGAGCTGGGAGCTGGGACTTTAATCCAGGTTTTCCCCATGGTGGGCAGGAGCCCAACTCCTTGAGCCAGCACCACTGCCTCCCACGGTGTGCACAGCCAGGAAGCTGGAATGAAGGGCAAAGCTGGGACTCAGATGCAGGCACTCTGCTAGGGGACCACTGTGCCGAATGCCTGCCCTAACCCCGTCATTATCTGATGAAGAAACTGAGGCGCAAGGAGAATAAATGATTCATTCAAGGCCTCCAAGGCAGAGAGTGCCAAAGTTAACACTGGTCCCTGGAGTCAGGATGCGCCAGCCAGCCTCTGATGGTGGGAGGAGGCGTGTGAGCAGAGGTGGAGCTCATGGGTGGGAGGCACAGACGTAAAAAGCTGTGAGAGCCAAAGCACAGGGTGTGCATTTGTGTTTGTGTGCTGGTGGGAGCAGGTTGTGTGTGCCGAGGTGGAAGTGGAGCCATGGAGTGACCTGAGCCCCGCAGAGCCCCGCTGTGAATACATCTGATGGACAGCGAAGGATGCGAATGGTGCTCGGCCAGGGAAACAGGATTGCCAAGCATCCCAGAGAGAGAGAGAGAGAGAGAGAGAGGTGCTGCAAGGGTGTGAGAGCGGGCGATGGCTCGGAGGTTGGAGGAACGCAGCTCCCGGATGGACCCCACGGCCGTGCCTGCCGCTCCAGCCTATTTACAGGGGCACCTGCTCCTGGTGTAGCTCCGATAGGACTGGCTCCAGATCCTGCTGGCTGCCAGCCATGGGAGGATCAAGGCAGGCTGTGGGTGGCGGGGTGCTTTCTAGGAATACCATAAGTCCAAGGATTCAACCATTTGCAGATGAAAAAAATAGATGCCTCTGTACTGAACACATCCAGACTTGTGTTTCCTTATCATTACTCCTTAAGCAATATGCTGTAGCAACTATTGACAAAGCATTTACACTGCGTTAGGCATTGTAGATAATCTAGCGATGATTTCAGTCTATGGGAGTGGTGGGTATTATGGCACAGCAGGTTAAGCCCCGTCAATTCAACCAAGGAACCAATGCCTGTAGAACATGGAGTACCCAGAATGCTCTGCGAGTAGCTGGGTCACACGGCCTTGCAGCTGAGGACAGAGAACGGAGCAGTCTGTCTGAGGGGCTTGATGGAGATTCTGCAATGGGCAGAATCTGACTTTTCCTTAAATCCAGATTCTTAGTTCGGAAGCTGTTCTGTGTAGGGGAGGACCCCAGCAGAGGAGGGAACTCGGGCCTCTGTGGAAGGACCCAGCTGTTGGCAATCAGGGCTCTGGGGAGGGCCTCCAGCCTTGGGGCTGACACCCTTAATAACCCTGTTCTTCATTACGACTAATAAACCTGGTCTTTGTCCAGGGCGATGCACGCTCCTGTCCAAGTCGCTGTAGTTCAGAGACTGCCTGGAACAGCCACAGGACCTAGTCTGAAATTCCAGCGCAGGTGCTACGCTTTGAATACCATTAGTCACCCAAACTCATACAGAGTCTGACTCCCAGTCACGAGGAAGGTGAGACTTAACCCAATGATGGTGTTTACAGGTGTGGTCTTTGGAAAGCGACTGGATTAGAATTAGAGTTAGGTCATTGAGGTGCAGCAGCCATGACGTAATCCTGGTGGTTGTTTGGGGAGGGAGGGAGAGAGAGAGAGAACAGTGTGATGATATAGACAGACATACCGCGGGGTGCTTTGTGTTACATCAGGCCTATGCCAGCCAGAAAACCATCTCCAGAGGCCAAACCAATGGGGTTTACACAGTCTTGGACTGTGACCCTCCAGAACCACGAGCCAAAAATAGTGCTATTTCATTTATAGAATTAGGCTGCCTCAAATATTTAATTATAGTAATAAATTTAAAAACCCCAGCTAATTTAGCAGGGCTTCTATTGTTTTCCCAATCAAAAGGAAGACTCCTCAGGTGTGCACGTTTTGTGCTTTGACATCTCCGTTTTTCCTCCCTCAACAACATCATGATGCTCTTTTTTTTTTTTAATTTTTATTTATTTGAAAGAGTTACAGAGAGAGGCAGAGGCAGAGAGAAAGGTCTTCCATCTGCTGGTTCACTCCCGGGATGGCCACAATGTCCGGAGCTGCGCCCATCCAAAGCCAGGAGTCAGGAGCCTCCTCTGGGTCCCCCATGTGGGTGCAGGGGCCCAAGGACTTGGGCCATCTTCCACTGCTTTCCCAGGCCACAGCAGAGAGCTGGATCGAAAGTGGAGCAGCTGGGCTAGAACTGGCATCCATATGGGACGCCGGCACTGCAAGTGGCAGCTTTACCCACTACGCCACAGCACCAGCCCCTGTTTATTTATTTCAAAAGCAAAGTGACAGAGGGAGTTCTTTCCTCCTCTGGTTCACTCCTCAGATGGTTGCAACAGCCAGTACTGGGCCAGGTTGAAGCCAGAAATTCCATCTGGGTCTCCCACCCGGGCAGCAGGAGCCCAAGGACTTGGGTTATCTTCCACTGCCTTCCCAGGTGCATTAGCAGAGACCTGGATCAGAAGCAGAGCTGCTGGGATTCAAACCGGTGTTTTTTTTTTTTTTTTTTTTTTTTCCAGGCAGAGTGGACAGTGAGAGAGAGACAGAGAGAAAGGTCTTCCTTTGCCGTTGGTTCACCCTCCAATGGCTGCCGCGGCCAGCACGCTGCGGCCGGTGCACTGCGCTGATCCGATGGCGGGAGCCAGGTGCTTCTCCTGGTCTCCCATGGGGTGCAGGGCCCAAGCACTTGGGCCATCCTCCACTGCACTCCCTGGCCACAGCAGAGAGCTGGCCTGGAAGAGGGGCAACCGGGACAGAATCCGGCGCCCTGACCGGGACTAGAACCCGGTGTGCCGGCGCCGCAAGGCGGAGGATTAGCCTATTGAGCCGCGGCGCCGGCCAAACTGGTTCTCTTATATTGGATGCTGGTGTTACAGGCAGTAGCTTAACCTGCTGCATCACAATGCCAGCCCCTGAGAGAGCATCATTTTAATTGTTATTATTAGTAATAATTGGGAGACAATTTAATGCATTAGATAGATCGTTGTCTAGAGACTCGGGATGTCATCGTGGTTCTGTTATTAGCCATCTAAGCAACTTGGAGACATCATTTTCTCTAAGGGCCTTGCTTCCGTCATCTGTGTGCCTGGTGATTTCTCTGCAGGGTATCATTTAAACAGACCACAATATGAAGTGTGTTCCCTGGAGCCGTGTGACGCAAGGGCCTTGCACTTACTTGCTAGCTTACCTCAACGGCAGAGTCTGCTAAGAACCGTGACGTCTTCAGCTCGGAGTCCGTGCTGTCTGATCAAGGGGGCATCATCAAGGCGTACTCCAGGAGTTGGCGGGATGTGCTTGAAATCAATGATGAGACGTCCACGGGGGAATTAGCCTGCTCTGTGGATATGAGCTTTACGCCTGAGATGCTGTATTGGTTGTCAACTGGGAAGCAGTGAACACAAACCTTCCAGGCAACAGGGTGCTTACCCATCTTCTGAGGTTCTCGTCTCTAGAGAGGCTGGCCAAATGGGCTCACCGCTGCAGTCCTGACCTCCGCGGACTGCCAGAGATAATGTTTGGCAGGCTATTGGAACATCAAAGGCAGTTGGGGTGAGTGGGACAGACAGCCGGCGCTGAGAAAAACTCAAGGCTCTCTTCCATATACAGGTGAGTTAACTACCAGGGGCTGTTGCCTAGCAACACGTTCCCGCCCCTTTCACATCATCTTCGGTGTGCTGATTGCCTTCCTGTGGCATCTCTTCTCTCCTCTCTTGATATTGGCTTGATGTTTGCTATGAATCATGTTTCACTTAGACACAGTATGTGTTGAGTGGTGTGTAGCGTTAGAAGTTCAAGAGCCTATCGGCTTGCTAGTGTCATTGGGAAAACACGCTGTTCAGGCGTCTCCTTACAAAGCTCATTGCCCACTCTCGACCGTATGACAGAAGTAGATATTTAGAATGGAAGATGAGTGTTTAAAAAGGAAACACTTGGGGCCAGCGCTGTTGTGTGGTGGGTAAAGCCACTGCCTGCAGTGCCAGCATCCCATATGGGCACCGGTTCAAATCCCAGCTGCTCCACTTCCAATCCAGCTCTCTGCTGTGGCCTGGGAAAGCAGTGGAAGATGGCCCAAGTCCTTGGGCCCCTGCACGCAAGTGGGAGGCCCGGAGGAAGCTCCTGGCTCCTGGCTTTGGATGGGCGCAGCTCCAGCCATTGCAGCCATCTGGGGAGTGAACCAGCGGATGGAAGACCTCTCTCTCTCTCTCTCTCTCTCTCTCTCTGCCTCTCATTCTCTCTGTGTGTAACTCTGACTTTCAAATAAATAAATAAATCTTTAAACATTTTTTGAATTTGTTTTATTCATTAATTTTAAGTAATCTTTAAAATAAGAAATATTCTTCAGGTGTGACCTAAAATCACTTTAAAAAAAAACACTTTATTTATTTATTTGAGAGGTAGAGCTACAGACAGTGAGAGGGAGAGACAGAGAGAAATGCCTTCCTTCCGTTGGCTCACTCCCCAGATGGCCACAGTGGCCAGAGCTGTGCCGTTCCAAAGCCAGGAGCCAGGAGCCAGGAGTCAGGAGCTAATTCCAAGTCTCCCATGTGGGTGCAGGGGCCCAAGGACTTGGGCCATCTTCTACTGCTTTCTCAGGCCATAGCAGAGAGCTGGATCGGAAGAGGAACAGCCAGAACTAGAACACCCACATGGCATGCCGGCACTGCAGGTGGAGAATTAACCTACTGCGCCATGGCACCGGCCCCTAAAATCACTTTTCATACTGCACATATACATATGCCATACTTTGTGAAACAAAGCACCGATTAAAAGTTGAGTATTACTACTACTTATACATTTTCTCTATTTCTTTTCATTTTCATTTGAAAAACAGAGATAACAAATAGGCAGAGAGAGAGAGAGATTTCCAAGCCTGCTGGTTTCCTCCTCAGATGCCAGAGGAGCTGGACTGGGGTGAGGCTGAAACCAGGAGCCTGGAACTCTGTCTGGGTCTCCCCTGTGGGTGCAGGGGCCCAAGGACTGGAGCCATCACCTACTGTCCTAGGTCTGTGTCAGCAGGACCCGGAAGTGGGGGCAGAGCCAGGGCTGGCATCTGATAGAAGAGGCCGGAGTTCACAGCGTCATTTTAACTGCTGTGCTAAAGACCACCCGTGAACTTTATGACTGATATTTATTTTGGGGGGCACAGGATTCAAAAGTTCCCTTTAGTAATGCAGGTGGTGAATTCGTAGTGCTACGTTTAGATAAACCACCAGGAAACTTGACTTTCTGTACCATGAGAACCCTTTAGGAAAAAAATTTATTTGACCTTTCTTTAAAGGTCACTGCTGCTAGGCAACACCTTTCTCTTGCTATGTTAACCACATTGGTCAAATTTTATTAAAGCTCCTGTCTTTCCCAAGGGGTCGGGTGCGGGAGGGGGAGGAACACACCCTGCTTCTGTTGAACATTGGTGGTAGGGCTGGAAGCAGGCAGGACAGCAGGATTCAATACCGCAGGTTGGTGAATTTCCTTCCCTTCTCTGGCACATCTGTGGGGTCATGTGTTGCAGCCAGAGAGCAGTGGATTGGAAAATGAGAAGTTCTGAGTTGCAGCCTGGGGCCTGCTTGCCAGCTCACTGGCCCGCCTCCCCAGCTTAGGGCCCCGTTTGTCAAACCGGTTATAGCGGGAGTCTGGTCTGCAGCAGCCGGGAGGATCAGATTTCAGAAGGGGGAGCTGTTCTGCCCCCTCCTCCCCCCTGAGCAGGTCCCATCCCACGTGGCAGGTTACTTCCTTTCAATGTATTGGTTTTAAAACCATTGTGGCGAGGAAGCTCCTACCACTGCGATGGAAGCGATGTTCTGCCTTCCAGAGCTGTCTCTCTCTCTCTGAGTTCCACGGGAGACTGAAGCGTTCAGACACAAATCCAAACCCCAGCCTCGCTTCCTCAGGTGGCTAATGAATCCAATGAGGAGTTGCTTCTAATTACCAGCTGTCTCCTGACAGCAGGGTTATCTGCATCCACCCATGACTAGCAAATTCATAATGTATGAAGCCCTACGCAGCCACTTGCTCTAAGAGCCCTCATTTCGAGAGCTGATGTCTTCAAGCCCAAGGGTGCTTCATGGGCTAGTTTAGTGACGGTGATGGGCCTTGCACAAAAGGAAGTAGCTTCCTAACTCAGCTCACCTCGAAAGCAATCTACCCTGGTTCCTTTCTCCCAACGCCAGGGGAAGCCAAGGCTGGGGTTACAGGAATACACCCACCTCTTGAATCTCACTACATTTGACTTCTTCTTTATTATTACTTTTAATCAATTTATTTATTTGAAAGGCAGAGTGACAGAGCAAAAGAGAGAGAGGGAGAGACACAGAGAGGTCTTCCATCAACGGGTTCACTCTCCAAATGGCTGCAACAGCTGGGGCTGGGCCAGGTGGAAGCCAGGAACCAAGAACTCCTCTGGGTCTCCCATGTGGACACAGGGGCACAAGGACTTGGGCCAGCTTTCTGGCCTTCCCAGGTGCATTAGCAGGGAGCTTGATTGGGAGCAGAGCAGCTGGGACTCAGACTGGTGCTCTGACGTCAGTTCCTCAATGTACTGCGCTATGATGCTCGCCCCTCGACTTGCTTCTTGCAGCCAAGATACCCCAACGCATTTTTCAGCTTTGCAAATAACAGTGGTACGTATCCTCTATGAGAATACTTAAGAAAGTTAAAGGAAAATGGAATTTAAAGACAAATTGACTTTAATGCAAAGAAAAAATTGAAATTATATATTTATACAGGGTCTTCAGGAACTTCATGGAAATGTATACTGTGCAAACACCGTGCAAGGGTTTTGAAATTTTTCCTGTTATCTCACATATTAGTGGTCAATAGCTAGTACTTCTTTCTTGGTTGCAGGTATTTGATCTTCCAGTTTCTCAAGAAAGTCACGGGCAAAGGCCCATTAGGCAGAGGACTCTTGTTTCTGGAAGATTCGGCCACAGGTTTAGAGCAGACTGCAGTCACGGTTTCTAAGAACGGGCTGACCTTGGGTCTGAGAGGCCGCCGAACTTCCGAAATCATGTGGGTGCCCATTGCATAACTCCAGTTACACCTCAGAAAACACTCTGGGAAACATGGATTTAATTCATGGGCAACTATTAGCTAAGGAAAGACAGGCAGTCTCAAGGACCCTGACTTAAAATCCTCTTGGAGTGGGAAAAAAAGCCACAGCCTATGTGATGTCAGAGCTTGGCCAACTTATGAGACCTGGGATCCATGTGGTGGCTCGACCCATGATCTGAGGGCAGTCACCTAACTTCTTTGTGCATCAGTTTTCTGAATGGAAAATAAGGAGAACAAAACTCTTGCTAAGGGGGCCAGCATATTGGCATAGCTGGTTGAGTTTCCTCCTGCAATGCCAACGTCCCATATGGGCACGGGTTTGAGTCCCGACTTCTCCATTCCCATCTAGCTCCCTGCTTGTGCATCTGGGGAGGTAGAGGAAGATGGTCCAAGTGCTTGGGGCCCTGTACCCACATGATAGACCTGATTGGGGTTCCTGGCTCCTGTATTCAGCCTGGCCAACCCAGGCCATTGCTGCCATTTTGGGGCTGGGGGTGGGGGGTGAACCAGTGGATGGAAGATCTCTCTTTCTCTCTCTCTCTCTCTCTCTCTCTGTCTGTCTCTGTCTCTGTCTCTCTCCTTCTCTTTTTGTAGCTCTGCCTTTCAGAAAAATGGGTAGATCTTTGGGGAAAAAATACTGATAGGGTTCCTTCTGGCTCTAAGAGTCAATGGTTTAATTACCAGAGTACTTCAAAAAGCGCATGGACAATGGAATTCAAAGATAAGTTCATGTCTTGAAATCCATGCACAGCTTTCCCATGATACTTCTTTTACATGGACTTTTGGATGGCTCCTCATATGCATGGACTTCAACCTTTTGCACATCAAAACAAGCTGATCTGTTGAACTCATCTTGCATAAACATTTGGAGTGTACCCCTCCAAGTCTTTACTTCTAGAAGTCCACATATTGCTTGGAATAGTGAAGTCACATTTCTATCACAAGGTCTGGCAATTAATGCCAGCCATGAAATTAAGTTTCCGGGGTCTGATGCCTCACCCCCACCCTGCCAGACATGTCAGCACTGCATTTCATTTTCTCTTTCTGGACTTAGAATTCCTCGTCTGAAGGACGAGGCTCTCGCCTCCACTCCCACCTGTTTGGCTGGTGTCACTGCTTTGTGCTGGCACCGAAAACATTTCATAAGCGCTGGAGCCAGCGAGCTTTCGACTCAGATTCCAGCTAGCCTGGTTACTCTGTGAGTGACTTTCAGCAATTATTCCAGGTATCCTCTTGTGTAATCTAGAGATAAAAACGCCCTAGCATGTGGAATTCCCGAGAGGATTAAGTCCCCTCAGCATCCCAAAGGCATCGAATGGCTCACGCATTCAAAACTCATCATTCCACTGGTTCTGCTAGATTTCTGGATGACTCGTCTTGCAAGTTAGAGGTTCTGTTTCGCTGCCGCTTTTCTCTGTGACTTTAATTCCTTTTCTTTATCCCACCTAAGCCTTTGGCTTCCTGGGCCGTAACATGAAGATCTCATCATCGCTAAATACGGGATCCTTGAATACTAATGCCAGCGTCCCCCTCTCTGACGACCACCTCCTAGCAATTCC